GCTGCTCCTCCTCTTCCTCTGCCTCTGCCTCTGCCTCTGCCTCTGCTTCTGCTCCTGCTACTGCTACTGCTTCTCCATCTGCTCCTACTGCTCCTTCTCCTGCTCCTGCTCCTCCTTCTCCTCCTCCTCCTCCTCTGTTTCTTCTTCTTCTTCTTCTGCTTCTGCTCCTTCCCCTCCTCCCCCTCTGCTTCTTCTTCTTCTCCTCCTCCTCCTCCTCCTCTGCTTCTTCTTCTTTTGCTTCTGCTTCTGCTTCTGCTTCTGCTCCTGCTCCTACTCCACCTCCTGCTCCTCTTCCTCCTCCTCCTCTTTCTTCTTCTCCTTCCTTATCCTCCTTCTTCTTCTCTCCCTCCTCCTCCCTCTCCTTCTTCTTCTTCTTCTCCTTTTTCTCCTCCTCCTCCTCCCTCTTCTTCTTCTTCTTCTTCTTCTTCTCCTTCTCCTCCTCCTCCTCCTTCTTCTTCTCTTTCCTTCTCTTCCTTCTTCTCCTCAATCTCCTTTTTCTTCTTCCTCTTACTCTTCCTCTTCCTCTTCTGCTTCTGCTTCTGCTCCTGCTCCTGCTCCTCCTCCTCTTCTTCGTCTTCTTCTCGTTCTGCTTCTGCTCCTGCTCCTACTCTTGCTCCTGCTCCTCCTCCTTCTTCCTTCTCCTCCTCCTCCTCCTCCTTCTTCTTCTTCTTCTTCTCCTCCTCCTTCTTCTTCTCCTTCTCCTCCTCCTCCTCCTCTTTCCCCTCCTCTTTCTTCTTCTCTTTCTCTTCCTCCTTCTCTCCTTCTTTCTTCTTCTCCTTCTTCTCCTTATTCTTCTCCTCCTCCTCCTCCTTCTTTTTTTTGTTCTCCATCTTATCCTTCCCCTTCTCCTTCTTCTTCTCCTTCTTTTTCTCCTCCTTTCCCTCCTCCTCCTTCTTCTTCAAGTTTCTATAGAGAGAATTTATTTGAGAGGATGAACTTTAGGGATTTTATTTTGGTTTTAGAAATAATGGCTTGAATGGGTTAGTTATACTGTTAAAATTACTTATATAGGGGTCCTAGGCTTAGGAAAAATGACATAGCTTTAATTAGATTAAAACCGGAAAAAGACTAGTTAACCTCTTGCTACAGTGGTCTGCCTCACCCTTCACGTGAAGCACCATGAACCGTCAAGGGTCACACGGCCCGTAGTGGTGCCCGTGATCCCTTGACTAGTGGCTTCACTTGCCACCCCTTAACCCCCTCAATGCTAACTTAAGACCACGAACCCTCCCACGGCCCGTGGTGGCCTTCACGAGCCGTCTAGTGGCTCGTGGGGAGGTTCCTCTTTTGGGGCAGATTTGGAGAGGCTACTACCTAGACCACCATGAGTTACACCACAGGCCGTGGTCCTCACCACTGACCGTGGTGGTGGTCGTGGTAGGTGGTACAGTGCCTAGAAAAATATTAGGCTTCTCTAGCCTTCACCCTTGCCCTCTTCATTGACCCTAGTCCTCCCACTTAGGCCTAGTTTAGTCTTAGATTACGGGGAGTTACATTATCTCTCCCTTGGGAACATTCGTCCTCAAATTATGATCAAGACACCTTACAGAAGTTACGACTCAAGACTAGCAGCCCATCATGCATGCAACATCATAACAATGCACAAAACAAAGGAGGAAACATCAACTCCAAACTCAAACACACTAAATGCGTCACAAGGAAGTAGGAACTACATCTAACAACCCATTATGCATGAAATTTCAACATTTCTCATGTTCTTAGGAGGTACTACCTTTTTCAAGCTAAAATCATGCTCAACAAAATCTCATGGAGCCTTAATGCAATTTACTTTCGGAAAGCATAACTAAAGTATTTTCATCAATTCATCTCATGAAGTCAATAGACAACTTATACTCAATGCACAACAACATGAGGAAATAAATCATATAAACTCATTTTCTTTCAAAACATAAGTTTCTCATGAATATGCATAACATAGGGAAATCATGGAAAAACACAAATAACACACATGACTCCCAAAACAAGGAAACTCAAGCGGATCTCATTACCTCAAGCTAGGATAGGAGTAGAAGGAAAGAGATGAGGATATCGGGACATCATATCGGCCTTGGCCCCCCAAGTAGCACCCTCAACCAATTGATTTCTCCACAAAACCTTCACAGAACCTATTTCCTTTTTTCTCAATTTCTTGACTTGCCGGTCTAGAATCTTTACCAGAACTTCCTCATATAAATTGGTACTTTTCACACCACTATCTAAAAATTAGTTAAAATCTCTAAATTAATCAACATTTAGCCACTTTAAATATGTGTTAATACGTTGGACAAAAATATATACCTAATATTTCAGTTTTTTTACGCCTTATGTTTAAGCACTTTGCAAATAAAATAATCTTTGGTATATGAAAGAACGGAAGCAATTTTGCCAATGATAATATCTAACAATCAATTAGGTTTCATAAAACGAAGAAGTATTACAAAAAATATTTTATTAGCCCAAGAGATTATTAGAGACATTAACAGGAGGAACAAACTGCGCAATGTGGAAGTCATGCTAGACATGGTGAAAACATATAATAAAGTGTCATGAATTTTTTTGATAAATGTTTTGCCAAAATTTGGCGTCTCAAAAAGAACCATTCACATTGTGGTGGGGTTAGTAAGCAACAATATGTGCTCAATTTTAATGAATGGACCGTTGTTTGGGGTTTTTTAATCCTCAAGTGGGCTGAATTAAGGGGATCATATGACCTACTCTGTTTATTAATGTTGTTAAAGTTTTAGCAAGGGATTTGAATGGGTTATATAGAGATCTTGATTTTAAATGATTTTGAAATGCCTAAATGGAGTCTTGAAAGCAACCATCTGTCATATGTAGATGATACCATTCTATGTTGTTCAGGTCAGCCTGCCTCAACAAAAAGATGATGAAGATTTTGAGAAAATACAAAGAATTTTTTGGGTAAATGATTTGAAGAAACCTTAACCACCTAAGCAAGAATCAGGTTCTTGTCTAATTTGTAAAGATAAAACGCAACACATTAAAACAAAAAAATTAACGAGTAAACCCTCCCTGCTCAAGGGAAGAAACACTACGACCTACACTAGTAGGATTTTTCACCAAATTCAAAGATAAGCTTTAAATTACAGTTATATAATCAAAGTGACTAAATCTAGTACCTCACCTCAACAGTTCAGTCAAACTGTTCAACAATTAACTATAACCGTAAACTCTACTCTTCAAGAAGCCAAACCCACTTCTTGTTACAAAACTCACAAACTCTCTTTCACTTAGAGAATACTTAACCCTAAAAAATAATTTTAATATGAAACAATGCAAACTAAGATTTAAAAAGAAAACCTAACTCTAGTTCATCTTTCTTCTCGCGTCTTGATCTTTAGCGCCACACTCACTTATTCCACAAAGTTCTCTAATATCTGAATTGCAAAAATTGTATTTTTATTTTCATCAACGATCTTTTAATTAGGGTGAATTATACCCTAATTGAATCCTACAAGGGAAGTAATTATTTTCCTAGAAAAGCTTTTTTTTTCCATATAAGGAGTGATTTGCATACTTTTCCTTGATTAAGAGTGTTTGCCTTTAGACACATTATTTCTTATTTTCCACTCTTTTATCTCACACGCTTGTGAACTTGGTTCATTTTTTCATTATCATAATTTTACTCAGAATATTATCAATTCATCATGATTAATGTGGATAAGAATTTGGTATATTTACATGAAAAGGTACCTATTGGCGTGGACAATCAAATAAAGAGGTCAATTAGAGTAAGAAAGATATATTTTTCCTTTACCTACTTGGGGTATCTTATCTTTTATGATAGAAAAAAACTCACTTTAAGGATCTACTAAAGAAGGTGGGAAAAATAGTGCAAACATGTAGAATAAGCTACTATTATTTGGTGGAAGGTATGTTTGCATCAAGCATCTTTTACATTTTATGTCAGTATATGTATTGTTAGCTATGAATCCCCCTACTTTTGTCATAACTCAACTACATAAGATGTTTGCAAAATTCTCATGGAAAAAATCTATAGAAGCTAAGACTAGACATTGGATAGTTTGGGATACAATATGTTTTCATAAAGAGAAGGGTGACCTGGATTTCAGATCGCTTCATAAGGTATTGATGGGTCGGCATTTGACGACAAATCTGATGCTTTTACTAAGGTAATTTGAAAGAACTTAAGTAATCAATAGTGTTGTTTTGATAAGTTTTACACTATGATAGCCAAGAAAAGTGTTAAGACAGAAAGAAGAGTGAGATGGAGCTAAGTGTTAGTAGATCAACCTTGACGGCAGCACTGGCGGGTCACCATCCTTGTGACTGACTGTTAGTTGCCTCGTCAAACATGCAAGAAACCCAGGACACTCAATAAACTTCGATGACAAATTCAATGAGCTCTCATCCTTGTGATGAGCCGTCATCTCTGGCGTCAAATCAATATAAGTCACGCTAAAATCTGCAAAATTTTGTGACGACCACTCTGGCGGACTGTCACTCCTCTGACAAGCCGTCAGGGACTTCGTCACACGTACATTGGGATCTGCACATTCTATTTTTAAAATTTGAATTTTTTGTGAACTATATATATATATATATATTTCCTTTCTTTTATTTTTTGATTCTTTTTATTCTTTTTTTTTTTTTAAATTATAATATTTTTTTTCTGGGAACTATATATACTTTTTTCTATGGGTTTTTATAGGATGTTTGTTATTTTGGAGATTTGCAAATTTTTTTATTAAAGAATAGATTACTCTTGATTAAGTTTTGAAGAAGAATTTGTGAGTTTATTGAAAGCATTGTCATCTATTTTTTCTTCTCTTGTAAGTGTTTGCTATCCTTGAATGAATGTAATTATGGT